ACCCACGACTAAGAAGTCACCCAACCCATGCCAAGTTGTACGTATGCACTGTCAGACAGCCGGTGTCCTCCGGTTCACAGTTGGTCCACCCTATTCTCATTCTCAATCTTTCCGAACGTTATCGAAAAACCTTTCTTAATATTTTTTTTTTCAACCAGGTATTTTTCTTGTGGGACCATTATTGTTTAAACTGATGGAAATGGCAGTGTTTTGAGATGGTTCCTTGATGTAATGGGAAAGTGGGGAAGAAAACTAAGAAATTATTGTGTAGGTGGGTGGGTGAGCTTTGACGAGGGAAGGTAGTGAATTTTGCTCTTCATATATATATATATATATATATATATATATATATATATATATATATATATATATATATATATATATATATATATATATAGCAACTGTTGGCAGAAAGGTGGGCTGGTGCAGGTATGAGTAGTGGGGGGGCTTGAAGAGGGTTGGAATAGTTTTAAAAATGCAGTATTAGAATGTAGGGGAGAAGTTTGTGGTTATAGGCGGGTGGGTGCAGGAGGAAAGAGGAGTGATTGGTAGAATGATGAAGTAAAGGGTGTGATAAAAGAGAAAAAGTTAGCTTATGAGAGGTATTTACAAAGAAGAAGTGTTATAAGAAGAGCAGAGTTATATATATATATATATATATATTATATATATATATATATATATATATATATAATATATGTGTGTGTGTGTGTGTGTGTGTGTGTGTGTGTGTGTGTGTGCAAACAATCGCAGACGGGCGATCTTAACTATGCAGGATAGGCCACGGGGGAGGGGGTGGAAATCTTCAGTTCAAGTACTTTCACACTTCTCATTGCGTCATCAGGAGCTGAGCAATGTTGCAAGGGAGCAACCAAAGTAGGGAGAGAAGTCTCAGACCTCTGAGAAGTGTGAAAGTACTTGAGCTAAAGATTTCCACTATCTGTCGCTTGTCCTGCATATATATATACATACAGTCTAGGTAGAGCGTTGAACCGTGGTCCGAACCACTGGTCCACCCTTCAGTTTATTCATAGATGAGATGAGAGCATCAAGCAATTTAGATAAGGAAAAATTAGATATCAGATTCGAGGGAGTATGGAAGAAGTGAATGTGTTCAGATATTTGGGAGTTGACTTGTCAGCAGATGGGTTTATGAAGGATGAGGTAAACCATAGAATTGATTAAGGAAAAAAGGTGGGTCGTGCATTGAGGTATATGTGGAGACAAAGGACGTTAGCCATGGAGGTAAAGAAATGAATGTATGAGAATATAGAGGTACCAACAGTCTTATATGGGTGTGAAGCTTGATTTGTAAATGCTGCAGCTAGGAGGAGGTTGTAGGCAGTGGAGATGTCGTGTCTAAGGACAATGTGTGGTGTAAATATTATGCAGAGTATTCATAGTATGGAAATTCGGAGATGTGGAGTTACTGAAAGTATTATTCAGAAAGCTGAGGAGGAGCTGTTGAGGTGGTTTGGTTATTTAGAAAGGATGGAGCAAAACTGGATAACTTGGAGAGTGCATTAATCTGTAATGGAGGGAATGAGGGGTAGGGGTCGTCCTAGGAAAGGATGGAGAGAGGGGGTAAAAGGTTTTGTGTGTTAGGGGCTTGGACATACATCAGGCATGTGTCAGTGTTAGGTAGGAGTGGAGACGAATGGTTTTTGGGAATTGACAAGAAGATGGATAATATTTTGTGAAAAAATTCATGGAAACTGGTTAACCAAACTTGAGTACTGTAGGTGGGAAGTACAATACCTACACTTTCAAGGAGGGGCATGGGATATTGGCTGTTTGGAGTGACATCTGCACTCTCATATCTGTTCGTCTCTATAAAGACAGTGATAAAATGTTAATGGTGGTGAAAGTGCTTTTTTTGGGGGGAGGAGGGGGGCGTCACTCTGCCTTGGTGGGAGATATCGGAACAAATACTAATTGTATTATTCCGGTAGAGGCTACTAACTGCAACCGAACTAAACTCCTCCCCACGGCCCAGGAGCTTTAGTAGTGGAGCTATTCTTACCCCTCCTCATTGTCACATCATCTATGGACACACATATAAGAGATAACTTGTATAGATTTAATCTTAGTAAAGTGGAGCAGTGGGGATGGGAAAGAGGGAAGGGGGGAAGGGATGGGAAGAGTTGATACGAATTTGAGGTACACCAATGAGGATAACTCCGGTTAGGCTAATTAAGGCTGATTTACAATGCTTTCCTACATCACCTCCAGCCTTCCGCTGGTCCTAATGTTTACTATGCAACACTCCCGTCCCCTGCCTTTTTTTTTTTTTTACACAGGGTTTGACAAGGTTAAGAATCCCTAGCTTTATTGACGAGCTATTTACAGGTTAAGGATTCCTAACTTTATTGACAAGCTAAGACCTGTTACCTACATCAGCTCATTTGAAAGCATTTTTATTGTTATGAGACATACAAGTAGGGAACAGGATGAAATTGGAGCCATCTGTGGGCCAGCATTTTCATTTGATCAACTGACTTTATTTCGTTGACATCATTATGCTGTACGAATGTGTATATATGATCTCAGATGGAATGATGTTCTGGAGAAGGGTACAGCCAGAGTGAAGTTGCTGCTTTCTGCCCGTCTTGTGGCATAAAAGCTTGTTTCACGCTGTCCTCGAAGTGGATCCAAGTGTGGTACTTTGACAATATTGGCCTTGTACATAACAGTAATGCCACCCACATCCCTCCTATGTTGAAGGCTCTGCTGAAATGACAGATCTATCCAGGATGTGTCCAGGCGAGAGATGAGACGTCTTGCTCTGTTCTCTACTCTGTCAAGCAGTCGCAGATGAGAGGGGGGCAGGCAAACCAAGAAAGTGGAGCATACTCAAGGTGTGAGCGTACTTGTGCCTCGTACAGAATCTTGCAACTCCTACTGTCAAGTAGATGCGAGATACGGCGAAGTGCTGTAGCTTCCTGGCTGCCTTGTTTGCAAGATTTACAACATGGTTCTTCATGGTTAGTTTGGAGTCAAATTTCACCCCAAGGATATCAACTTCTTCTCCAGGTGCCAACACCCTCCCATTCATCCTTACTACTGCACCAGCATTACCATCATGGTGCCTAGAGACGATCATCATTTGCGTTTTCTCAGGTGCAAGTGTTACTGGCCATCTATTTCCCCAAGCTGATATAGCTCTCAGCTGGTGATTGATGTAGCTTAAAGCAGCTGGCATTTCTTCTCTTGGATAAATGAATGTCAGTGTACAGTCGTCTGCATATGCATGTGATTCTGGGATGAGATGAAGAAGGTCGTTGAAGTAGACATTCCATAACAATGGTCCCAGCATGCTTCCGTGTGGAACACTTGCCCCAATAGGATGTCTTGCTGATTCCGTTCCATTGAGAACTACACTTAGAGATCTACCATGAAGGTAATCACTTAGGAGACAGCGTAGAGCCTGCAATTCCCAGTGCTTGAAGTTTTGCTAAGAGGCCCTGGTGCCACACCCGGTCGAAAGCGACAGCAATGTCTCTCTCTCTCTCTCTCTCTCTCTCTCTCTCTCTCTCTCTCTCTCTCTCTCTCTCTCTCTCTCTCTCTCTCTCTCTCTCTCTCTCTCTCCTCTCTCTACTCCCTAACCCTACTTCCGGCATTTAATTACCACTGTCCTCTCCGTCCCCTGCCTCCACACTCGCTCCTCCCTACTTCTCTCCTCACATTCTTCATCACCCCCAACTTCTTCCCCCACCCTTCACATTCGCCCAGCAACCATCCCCTTCCTTTGTAGCTATTCCCTGCCTTCCCCCACCCCCACCTCTCCACCTTCCTTCTAAGTCAAGAGAGATAAACATTCAAGGTAAACCAGACTTCTTATCGCAGCTCCAACATTATCTGATGTTACGTATATTTACAGCCGTGAATATTTTTTTTGTGTTTGCGTCTGTACGTGTTGAAGTCTTCTTACCATGTACTTATATTATTTATTTGTATCGGAAACCAACCGAATGTTTTCCTTAAATTTCCATGTGACACACACACACACCACACACACACACACACACCTGACGACACTGGAGGACAGGAGACATAGGGGGGACATGATAATGACATAAAATACTGAGAGGAATTGATAGGGGGGACAGAGACAGAATGTTCCAGGGATGGGACACAGCAACAAGGGGACACAGTTGGAACTTGAAGACACAGATGAATCACAGGAATGTTAGGAAGAATTTCTTCAGTCACAGAGTAGTCAGGAAGTGGAATAGTTTGGGAAGCTATGTAGCGGAGGCAGGATCAATACATAGCTTTTAAGCAGAGGTATGATAAAGCTCATGGGTCAAGGAGAGTGACCCAGTAGCGACCAGTGAACAGGCGGAGCCAGGAGCTATGAATCGACCCCAGCAACCACAACTAGGCGAGTACACACACACACACACACACACACACACACACCATGACATTGTTACCCAGTTTATTAGTGCATATACACTAAGAGGTAAATGCCTCCGTGTTAAACTTCTACAAATCCCTGAAGGCTAAACACCATATGTTTCTCAGCTTATAAGCTTTCCTGATAGCCAGTATAGTTAAAATATATTTAGAAATGAGTGGTTGTGTGTGTGGGTGTGAGTTAGACGTGCCTAGCATGAAGAATGAGGCACTTGTGCACCATTTGCGAATCCTTGTTACGGAAACGTTTCTCCGGAGTTGATGTGTTCCGTCCATCAGTGGCCGGACAGGAACCCAAGACGCGCAGCCACGCTGAGCGCTGGAAAAACAAAGTAGCAGCCATCGAATCTCTGGGGGTTTTGATGATCCTGGAACCTAGTTCTCTGAGGAAACTCATGGCATCTTCACCCCCAAGAACCAAGGATCTGTGCTCTTGTTGGGACAAAGTGGTACTGGTGGGGCAAGTCCCTATACTTCTTAAGCATGTTTATATATTTTGCATAATATATATATAACATATAGATCATTATATAGATTATATTCTTATTATAAGATTTTACAGTTTTGGAGAGTAAGAAACATTTTAAAAAGAAGAGTTTATTAAATTTTATTTGATGGAAGACGAGGTGGTGGTTTTTAGCAGTAGATCAACACACTGAAGGTTGTTGTTAGTGGCTCTGGTAACTCTTGGATTGGTAGTTAGAAGAGTTGCAGCCTGGAGCTGTTATGGTTCTTGTTGTCAAAGCTGTGGAACTCTGTTCATGTGTTGATGATTGTTTTTTTTTTGTTTTTTAATGATTTCTTTGAGACCTGTGGTGTTTGTGCGAGAGAGAGAGCAAGTCCTGTCTGGGATGGTCGCCGCCACACCTCACGATTTATCCATAGTAACCATAATACCCGCGGCCGAAGAAAGGCCGACGGTAGTAGCCGTATCCGCCGAATCCACCGTATCCGCCGAATCCACGGTAACCATAGCCACGGCCGAAGCCGAAGCGTCTCCAGTGTGGGTCGGCCTCCGGGTCAGCATCGGGATCAGCGTCAGCCAATGGGTAGGGGTCAGCGCCAGCCACTGCGTCAGGATCAGCGCCAGCCACTGCGTCAGGATCAGCGCCAGCCAGAGGGTAGGGGTCCGGCATGGCTCGGGTGGACCCCATAAGGGCGGTCAGGATCACCATCACAACCAGCACAAGCGACATCTGTAATATAGAAAACTGTTACTAAATAACTGCTAATGGACAATGATATATATACCTATACCTATAAATATACCTATTGGTAAAAGAGAATGAAAAGATGCGGTGATAGGGGAAGTGGAATATTCAAATGGCTTCAGGAAGAAATCCAAATATTCTTCCTTGAAGCCTTTTTATTCACTTCTCCGAGGCTATGGGTCCCACAATTTACACCAGAGGTGGATTCCATCTTACATACATTACATATATATATATATATATATATATATATATATATATATATATATATATATATATATATATATATATATATATATATATATATATATATATATATATATATATATATATATATATATATATATATATATATATATATATAAGTGTAAGTAGAAGTAACAAGATATAGTTGTTATCTCGTATATTTATGGAAGAGAAAAAAGGTAATTTATCATTATGATTATTAGTATAATTATAATTTTTATTATAATTATTATTATTATTATTATTATTATTATTATTACTATTATTATTACTACTGCTGCTGCTGCTGCTGCTACTACTACTACTACTACTACTACTACTACTACTACTACTACTACTACTACTACTACTACTACTACTACTACTACTACTACTACTACTACTACTACTACTACTACTACTGTGTTCACATGAGGATAAACACGTGTTCAGGGAAGGCAGGTGTCATGGGATAGAAGGCTTTATTCGGCTTATTAATACGGCGTATTAGTTACCAAGTGTAACTCAAGGAAGCCAGGCAGTGTGGCTTATTTCTTCTGGGGTCGTTTGGCCTTCTTTCCCAGCGCGCGACCCACAACACTGGCTAACACACAGGTACCTACTTACAGCTAGGTGATCAGTGGCAACAGATGTAAGGAAACATGTCTAACGTTTCCTCTCATTGGTTGGTTAATTAGGCTTAAAACCCCTGCAGACTACACCTGTTAACCACCCGTCAAGAATATTTTAATCCCTAAAATATGGATTAAAGAAAACTCTCAGTGTATATACACACTGGAAGACATACAATTCTTGGTGTACATGTCCTGTGTACCACACTCTCTGAGCCGTAGGGATGACTACTCTGCTGTAGAGCTCCGAGTTAGACCGAGTCAGAACTGGCCGGGTGTTACTTACGCAGTTCATGGTGCTGTGAGAGGAATAGTCGAGGTGCGTCGATCTGTGTTGACCTGCCAGGAACTCATCCCTTATATAACCCCAGCGTTGGCTTCAAGGGTTCGTCAGCCTCCTGGCCCCTCCTACCTTCCAGCTCTCAACGAATGAGGATCCAGATCCTACGAAATTTTCAACCAAACGACAATAAACATTAAATTATTGTTATTCTCCCTTTAATATAATCAGTCAGTATTGCAGAAGCGTAAAGGATGAGAAATCTACAGAAACAGAGAGGTTTTTGTTCGTAACTGACATAGGAATGAGAAATAAATATGAATGTTTGTTGGGGGTTGTCCTAAGTTATTATTTAAGGGGTGTGTGGTGGGAAGGTTGTGCGGCTGAACTTGCTTGCATGGTCGGGCTTCAGGAATGGTCTCTGGTTTCAGGCATGGTCTCTGACTTCAGGAATGGTCTATGGCTTCAGGAATGGTCCCTGGCTTCAGGAACGGCCACTGGCGTGCTTCCTTCCTTGAAGTGCTTTCAGGAAGGCTGTAAGGATCAACTTACAAGTACAGGAAAGGTTGATAGAAGCAGAAGATACTTGAAGACGATGTAATCAGGTTGGGGGGGGTGGCCACACCCTCAGATATGGCCCGGTCTTCAGAACGCCCTGCGTGCTTCCATTACCTGAATGCTTTCAGAACGGTTAAGATCAACTTACAATACAGAGGTTGATAGAAGCAGAAATAACTTGAAGACATGTAATCCGAGTCCATCACCCTCAGAATGGCCCTGGCTTCAGGAACGGCACTGCTGTTCTTTTGTGAATCCTCTGTCAGGAGAAGTGTAGGATACACTTACAAGTACAGAAAGGTGAAGAAGCAGAAGATACTGAAGACGATGTATCAGTCCATCACCCATTCAGAATGTCCTGCTTCAGAACGGCCATGGTCTTCCTATCCTTGAATGCTTTCAGGAAGCTGTAGGATCAACTTCAGTACAGGAAAGGTGATAGAAGCAAAATACTTTAGACGATTAAAGTCGTCCATCACCCTTCAGGAATGGTCCCTGGCTTCAGGAACGGCCACTGGCGTGCTTCCTTCCTTGAAGTGCTTTCAGGAAGGCTGTAAGGATCAACTTACAAGTACAGGAAAGGTTGATAGAAGCAGAAGATACTTGAAGACGATGTAATCAGTCCATCACCCTTCAGGAATGGTCCCTGGCTTCAGGAACGGCCACTGGCGTGCTTCCTTCCTTGAAGTGCTTTCAGGAAGGCTGTAAGGATCAACTTGCTTACGTATAGTGTTGTTGCTATGTTGTTCTTAATAAAGAACCAAACTTAAAGTACTGGAGGTAAGAAATGTTAATGAACAGAGTTGTGGGGGGGGGCACACCGACTATGGGGACGGGTCTTCAATACTCCCTCCCCCCCATAACCACATTCCCACGCCGTCTCGCATTACAACCCAGCTGCGACACCTGACGAAATAACTAAAGGACAATGACTCCCGAGTCCAGTGCCTCAGCACCGACCTTGAGGTTTTCACAGCTGACTTGTCTTGTGTTCGAATCCTCTCCGCTCCGTGAGAATGTTGTGGTGTAAAGCGTTCTCAAACAGACGGTGTCAAAACGCTTTAGACAACCAACGATGTTATATGAAGCCTGGTTTCATATATACACCGAGAGGTGTATGTCTCTCCGGGTGTATATGTATACACACTCTTTTAGGTATTAAAGTGTTCTTGACTGGTGGTGAACAGGTGATATAAAACCTTGATGATCATCGTGTAGCCGATAGACGTTAAACCCCATTAACCTAGGTCGATGTTGCTGAGGTGTAAAAGACGTGTTATAATAATAATAATAATAATAATAATAATAATAATAATAATAATAATAATAATAATAATAATAATAATTGAAAGAAACGTTAAATTTTTTTAAAAAGTGTGTGAGAGAGAGACATACACATAGAAAATGACAGACAGATAGATAGATAGATAGATAGATAGATAGATAGATAAAGATAGACAGTCACATCGAAAGCACATTCTCCTGCCCAGGTTAGGTTACTATAGCCTATGTTAACTTACATTAACCAAACCAAACCTAACGTAACGTACCTTAGCTGAACTTAACCTAAATTAACCTAACATAACCTACCCTACATTAACCAAACCTAATTAAACCTAACCTAACCTAACCTAACTTATGCTACATTAACCTAACTTAACCTAACCTAATCTAAATCAGCTTAACACTAATTTTAAAAGTTGTGAAAGTTAAGACTACGTATAGCTCTGTGCAGAGCTTTATCTAGAGCTTGATAAAGCTCTACACACAGCGAAACCTGACACCATAAAGCTTCTTCTACAACGTGTAGCTCTCCTTAACTCTCCTCAGCAGCGAGTAGCTCTCCTCAGCAGCGAGTAGCTCTCCTCAGCAGCGAGTAGCTCTCCTTAACTCTCCTCAGCAGCGAGTAGCTCTCCTTAACTCTCCTCAGCAGCGAGTAGCTCTCCTTAACTCTCCTCAGCAGCGAGTAGCTCTCCTTAACTCTCCTCAGCAGCGAGTAGCTCTCCTTAACTCTCCTCAGCAGCGAGTAGCTCTCCTTAACTCTCCTCAGCAGCGAGTAGCTCTCCTTAACTCTCCTCAGCAGCGAGTAGCTCTCCTTAACTCTCCTCAGAAGCGAGTAGCTCTCCTTAACTCTCCTCAGCAGCGAGTAGCTCTCCCTAACTCTCCTTAGCAGCGAGTAGCTCTCCTTAGCTCTCCTCAGCAGCGAGTTGCTCTCCTTAACTCTCCTCAGTAGCGAGTAGCTCTCCTCAGCAGCGAGTAGCTCTCCTTAACTCTCCTCAGCAGCGAGTAACTCTCCTTAGCTCTCCTCAGCAGCGAGTAGCTCTCCTTAACTCTCCTCAGCAGCGAGTAGCTCTCCTTAACTCTCCTCAGCAGCGAAGAGCTCTCCTTAGCTCTCCTCAGCAACGACTAGCTCTCCTTAACTCTCCTCAGCAGCGAGTAGCTCTCCTCAGCAGCGAATAGCTCTCCTTAATTCTCCTCAGCAGCGAGTAACTCTCCTTAGCTCTCCTCAGCAGCGAAGAGCTCTCCTTAGCTCTCCTCAGCAACGACTAGCTCTCCTTAACTCTCCTCAGCAGCGAGTAGCTCTCCTCAGCAGCGAGTAGCTCTCCTGAACTCTCCTCAGCAGCGAGTAGCTCTCCTTAACTCTCTTCAGTAGCGAGTATCTCTCCTTAGCTCTCCTCAGCAGCGAGTAGCTCTCCTTAACTCTCCTCAGCAGCGAATAGCTCTCCTTAACTCTCCTCAGCAGCGAGTAACTCTCCTTAGCTCTCCTCAGCAGCGAGTAGCTCTCCTTAACTCTCCTCACCAGCGAGTAGCTCCCTTAACTCTCCTCAGCAGCGAGTAGCTCTCCTCAGCAGCGAGTAGCTCTCCTTAACTCTCCTCAGCAGTGAGTAGCTCTCCTTAACTCTCCTCAGCAGCGAGTAGCTCTCCTTAACTCTCATCAGAAGCGAGTAGCTCTCCTTAACTCTCCTCAGCAGCGAGTAGATCTCCTTAACTCTCCTCAGCAGCGAGTAGCTCTCCTTAGCTCTCTTCAGCAGCGAGTAGCTCTCCTTAACTCTCCTGAACGGCGAGTAGCTCTCCTTAACTCTCCTCAGCGACGAGTAGCTCTCCTTAACTCTCCTCAGCAGCGAGTAGCTCTCCTCAGCAGCGAGTAGCTCTCCTTAACTCTCCTCAGCAGCGAGTAGCTCTCCTTAACTCTCCTCAGCAGCGAGTAGCTCTCCTTAACTCTCCTCAGAAGCGAGTAGCTCTCCTTAACTCTCCTCAGCAGCGAGTAGCTCTCCTTAGCTCTCCTCAGCAGCGAGTAGCTCTCCTTAACTCTCCTCACTAGCGAGTAGCTCTCCTCAGCAGCGAGTAGCTCTCCTTAACTCTCCTCACCAGCGAGTAGCTCTCCTCAGCAGCGAGTAGCTCTCCTTAACTCTCCTCAGCAGCGAGTAGTTCTCCTTAACTCTCCTCAGAAGCGAGTAGCTCTCCTTAACTCTCCTCAGCAGCGAGTAGCTCTCCTTAACTCTCCTCAGCAGCGAGTAGCTCTCCTTAACTCTCCTCAGAAGCGAGTAGCTCTCCTTAACTCTCCTCAGCAGCGAGTAGCTCTCCTTAGCTCTCCTCAGCAGCGAGTAGCTCTCCTTAACTCTCCTCACTAGCGAGTAGCTCTCCTCAGCAGCGAGTAGCTCTCCTTAACTCTCCTCACCAGCGAGTAGCTCTCCTCAGCAGCGAGTAGCTCTCCTTAACTCTCCTCAGCAGCGAGTAGCTTTCCTTAACTCTCATCAGAAGCGAGTAGCTCTCCTTAACTCTCCTCAGCAGCGAGTAGCTCTCCTTAACTCTCCTCAGCAGCGAGTAGCTCTCCTTAACTCTCCTCAGAAGCGAGTAGCTCTCCTTAACTCTCCTCATCAGCGAGTAGCTCTCCTTAGCTCTCCTCAGCAGCGATTAGCTCTCCTTAACTCTCCTCAGCAGCGAGTAGTTCTCCTTAGCTCTCCTCAGCAGCGAGTAGCTTTTCTTAACTCTCCTCAGAAGCGAGTAGCTCTCCTTAACTCTCCTCAGCAGCAAGTAGCTCTCCTTAACTCTCCTCAGCAGCGAGTAGCTATCCTTAACTCTCCTCAGCAGCGAGTAGCTCTCCTTATCTCTCCTCAGCAGCGAGTAGCTATCCTTAATTCTCCTCAGCAGCGAGTAGCTATCCTTAACTCTCCTCAGCAGCGAGTAGCTATCCTTAACTCTCCTCAGCAGCGAGTAGCTCTCCTTAACTCACCTCAGCAGCGAGTAGCTCTTCTTAACTCTTCTCAGCAGCGGTCTAATTCGGACGACAGAGAACGTCGCAATGCGTGGCTTCATGCACATTCCTTAACGCGCTGGTTCAAGGTCAGGTGAATATTATCGAGAGACCTTGAAGTCGAGAACAAGACTGATCATCCTCATGTATCCAGCAAGTGTTTTTCAACCAAGTGAAGACCGGTGAGAAAATAAAACTGTGTCAGTAATTTGCTGACACCGTTGGTTTTTCCAGCTAATGAAACTGCTGCTGCTGACCCGATTCGCGAGATACGTGATGACACGACTGTATACAAATAGCAGAATGGGGTTTTGGGATTCAAA